TTATATAATTTTCTAGCTCTAAGGATTTTTTGATGCAAATTCACATCTGTTATTTCAGGTAGAAGCTGTTTGATTTCATGATATACCATAGATGTTGCAGTTTTTTTCTTAACTCCACCAGCAACAAAGTTATCAATCCTTTTGTCATATTTTTGTATAAAGTAGCACCAGTATAAAATTGCTTCTTGACCAAGTTTATTAGCTTTCTTGAACATGCAAACTATATTTTGTGTGGTATCTAAAGATGGATCCTGTTCTTCTGAAGTTTGATCTGATCTAGATGTATGTACAGGTGACGATAACTGTTGCTTTAATTCCTGTTCCACAATTATATTTTTATCCAACTTGGTAATAACTTCATCATGCTGATTGAATTTAAGTTCCTCTATGCCACATGACTCCAATCATGAAGAATCTTCACGGTTTTCAAGATTATATGCTAATTTGGATGCATTAACTTGCAGTTGCTTTGGTAAGATGCAATATGCTGAACTCATGCTCTCAGAACTAGCCTCATAAGATTGTGACAAGCCTTGCTTGTCTTGCTCTGAAGTTAACATGTCCGTGACTTCAGGAATTTTAGTCACATCCTGAGAAATTAAAAGTGTCTCTTGATCTCTCTGTTTCTTTTCCCACCACCTCTTTCTAATCTCATTGCTAATGCTTTTCTTACACACCTCATCCAAGAAATTGACCATTTCCTCATTGTTACCATCAAGGTTACTAGGTGCTCGTCCTACTTCATTATTGAGTTGGTCTATTACAGAACTGGGTACATCAACAGTTGGTACCGTCACCACTGACATCGCTTCTTTATCATTTTGTGTCTGACCAAATGACAACGCCATCCCATCCACTGCTGAACCCTGTTCTAATAATGCAAGTCTAGCCTCAAGTTCTCCAACTCTAGACTTGAGTTCAGCATTCTCAGCATCATGCCTTGCATTCTCCTCAATAATTTGCATCAACCTTGCATTCTCAGCCTCAACCTCAACAAATCTTAGTAGCTTCTCTCTAAGTTCAGGAATTTCAGTATTCTCCTTCCTAAGTTTGGCAATCTCAGCTAAGAGATTGGTATTTAATTCTCTCAATGAATCAGTGGATTGCATGTTTGATAATATTTTTTATAAGAGATGGAATAATTCAAAAGTTCAAGTTAGTATAGTAATAGATAAAAAATCATGTGAACAATTGTTCACGTCCGATCACTTTTGCCAAGAAAAATTTTATTAATATCAATATATGCAAAAATAAATACAAATCTTCAGGACCTAGCCTGTGATACATGACATCTATACTATTGTCTGTGGACTAATGCCTGCATGAAAATTTTCATGAATACACAATGGGTCATTATAGGCTAAGTATTCAACATCTACTTTACATAATTTTGCAAAAAGATGCTCATGTGCCTGAGTATCTTCATTCTAATATAAAGTAGAGATTTACTAACTGATTTATTGTCATTTAAAATATGCGGAATCAGTCTTTGATTCATGAATAATTCTAAATACTTAATTTTTTCTTTTATAGTGCCTATATTACTCAAAGCCTTTGCCTTCCAGTTTATTTGTTCTTTTAATTTACCATGTAATAAATTAGCATCTAATAACGATTTAAGTTCATTCCAGATAAAATGTATCTATAATAAAAAAACCGGGTTATAAATCTCTGGAAATAATCATCATTAATTTTTCAAAATGAATTAGTAAAAAAATTATTATCTGTACCGCGAAAAACGTGATCATGTATTAAAGTGATCGGCGTTCCGAAAAAGAACGCGCATGTGATTTCTCAAACTTTTGGCAAATTTATGCAAGAAATTACTATAGAACATGTCAAAGCTAATAAGAAATTGCGATCCGAGGTTGAAGAAAAGAGGATAGAATTGCAAGAAGCAGAAAAATACCTTGAATATTTAAAGTCCCGCTCTATTCATTAGAAATATCAAGTGGTCTGTCCTATCCCTTGCAAAGATATAAAGCATCTTCTTTTGCTCTAGTTAAATCGATAACAATAAATTCTCTACCTTGTATATAATCTCTTAAATTTCCCTCACTATAATAAATAAGCACCATTGCATAATTTCCATTTTCTGGGAATTTAGTTATACCATAACAATTAACAACTAAATTTGATTCAATTTTACAATAATTCAATGCCTGAAATTAATAATTAATTATATAAATAAAATTAATTAATTTAAAATAAATGATTTATTTTATTTTATTTTAAATAAGAACAATTACCTCATCAAAAAAAGGTTTTCCTGGATTATTTGAATTATTTAATGATTTTAATACAACCTTATGACCTCCAAAATAACTAAACTCCTTTTTATTTTCATCATAATCAACTATTCTTCCTTTTGTCCATATAGCAGTATAAATAGAACTGAATCCACCTTCTGTTAACTTTTCCACATAATAAAATTGCTCATAAGGTATCCATTCTATAATTCTACCTGGAAGAGATGAAAGCTGTTGACATTCTTGAATAAAATTACCAATTATCTCATTCCCAGAAGTCCAAGTGCTGAAAAGGCTCTGTAAGTGTAGACTAATACACTTTTCACAATATTCATCAGAGTATTTTGTTGTTTTACAATTATTGCATTCTCTTGGTTCACCACATTTATTAATTGCATTATTTAATTCAAAATCATAAATAAACCTTCCTCTACAAAATTCCTTTTCATTTTCTAATAGTTTTTTGTTTTCTTTGACTAATTGTAAAAAATAACTTTTTTTTTTTTTGAAGTTCAGAAACAGTTGGAAAAGCAGAATAAGCAATACTAGCTATTTCATTATAAATTTTAAGTACTAATTCTTTTCTGTCTTGTGTTAATGACTTGTATGAATTATTAAAGGACATTTTAACTTTTTAATATTTATTTTAAAAAAAATTAATTTATTATTTGACACAGCATTCCTTTTTGTGGTATTTTTTTGTATTATCTAATTTCTCCCTCCTACAATATTTGAATATAGTATGAATGAGTGTGCTAGGCTGGAATGAAAACAACTTGTAATTCAATGTTGGCACAATTTCTTTCAAGTCCGCATCATCTTTTCTAGTGCTCTTGAAAAATCGAAGCTAAACTGAAAATCACATCTTTCAGATTGAATTCAGTTGAAACTTTATACCATCCATCCATTTTCATCATCCTCATTATTTTCAGATCCCTTGATTTTGGCTTTTATTATAAAAGAAAGTCACCAAAAAAGTAAACCAACTTGTTGATGAATTCTTTATAGGGTAAATTTACAATAAAATCCAGCACACATTATATTTACACTTGTTTCATTTTGTACAAAATAACAATATTTCATTTCACTGAAATCAAGAATTCTCAAATAATCTACAAAGCAGAAAAACCGCATAGACAAGAAAATATTTGCTGCAAAAATAGCCAAGTAAACAAATTGTTGAAACTTATCATGAAGAGATCAATAATCTTCTCACCATTCTACAACATTGTTGTATCTACCATTATATCAAAACGACCCTTACACCACTTTGACAAATTTATTGAATTGCATCTATTGCCAGCAATAATAGAAGAAGCACCCATTTTTAGATGTATGATACCAGAGTATATAAAATTCATCATACAACTAGTAAAAGTTTAGAAACTAGTTTACAAATTTAGAACGCCCAACATTCCTAGCAAAGAAATGAATCTGATTAGATCTAAAATTCTTAGAATCTGAATCTGGATCCTTTAAATTTATAATAAACTTGTTATTATTAATTTGTCAGTTAAATTTGTGTCAATCATATTGTAATAATATTGTTTTTTGACATGGTCGGAATTAGCATACAACATTTGAGAATTAACATCAAGAAAATTATGTATTATATATATAATAAAAAATAAAAAAATAAAAAAATATGAAAATAAAGAAAAATAACTAATTATCTACTTGTCAACAATTTATCTGTCAACTACTTATTATCATTGTAATTAATTAATAAATAATAATATTCAAATTAATAAATTAATTAACTATTTAATTTGCCTGATTAAAATTGTATGTCATTAACATCAAGGTCACTCA